GGCCAAAAGATTGAGTTGATATTAGAAAATCCAAGTACTGTCAGAAAGGCTATATCAAGATGTATGGTTTCGCGACAAGCAGATCTTAATGAAGGCTCCGATTTACGCATAATATTGAAATGTGAGCTTAAGCCAATGCCGTCTTGATTTTAAGAGTAAACATTAGGCATAATAGGAAAATTATGCTAAACCTAAGATGTATAGCTGCTGACTTCAGTGTTCGTAAAAAAGCTTATAAGGTTTTACTTTGGTTTATTTGCAAGTTCATAAATAGCTGGAAATCCTTTTAAATCTTAGATGAAATCTTTCCTGCAATGCACAGTGATTGTAACATGAAGGAAACCATTTCAGAGCTCGAAGACTAAGCAATTAAAAGCGAAGAATAAATAGGATAAATTCGGTTAAAAGATCATCGTGAAATTTATACAGACGGATTTTTTTCATTAATATCTTCACACGAAATGAAATTCTTGACAAGCAATTCGATTTTTATGTAATCTTTATCAAAAATGACCACTAAAGAACATTTGTGTTTTAATCTGTCATGGGCAACATAGACGACAAGAAAAAACTTAAAATTATCAATGGATGTAAGGAATATACGGTAATGACAATTACCATTATCGAATGAAGATGTTTTTATTTCCTACAAGCCTAAATTCCAACAGATGTAATATTAAAATTTCACTAAAACATATATAGATGTAAGCTTGTCATTTTTATGGGTAAGTTTCGTTTAAGGTGATGAAGAACTGGCAGTCGATTTTTCCCACTGGTGTGAGTAGACCTTACGATTCCATTTAATTTTATACAGCCTTGCTCTCCCAAAAGGTATTCTCATCCAAGGTGGACTGCAATTTCGAGCTCGCCTAGATCTTATTGAATTACACAGTGGATCTCGAACCATGATAGTACGGCGTATAATCTTGACACGTTAACCACGAGGCAAGATTCCCACGAGTACCTTTGGGTCAAAGGGCGGGTATGAATTTTAAGAAGACCAAGTTTTTCCCACATCATATTCTTTGGTTGGATTGTCAATAAAGCACAATTTTATTTGCTATAGTAATCAAATGCATCACACATTTTTAGCTTATAAGTAGATTATCCAGACTACCAGCACATCATATATATATATGAGATGTATTTAACCTATTTCGTTTGAGGTGATGTAGGTCGAGTATTTGAATTTTATCAG